TCCCTCCTTTGCTGCCGACAACGCTCATCTAGCTTCTCGCGCGCAAGAATCTGCTTCGTGCGCTTGGCCGCCTTGGCGTCCTTCCGTTTTTTCTACGCCTCGGCGTGCGCCCGGTTGATCGCCCGCCGCCTCGCGTCCTCGGGAACGGGCGGCGGGGAGGCTCGCACGTCCCTCATCCCCTGTAGCAATGACAAACGTGCATAAGGGAATGAGAAATAATAAGAAACGGGGAGGGCTCGGGGGATGCAGCGGCGCGCGACTTACCAGCGAGAGATACCCCGCGACGGACGCATCGCGAGGGTGGTCAGACCACCGCTCCGCGGCTTCGCCTCCACCGTGTCCCTCACCCGGTGAAAAATTTCCTCATCAGAAAGGGCGGAGGCAGACAGCCGGATGCCCTCGATCGAATCGTCCGGCCTCATCTCGAACAGGCGTCGCCGCTGAGCCATCAGCGGCAGCACCCTCCGGCTGTGGAAGGCGGCCACGACCACAGCCGTAGTAAGGTGGCGGTCCCGCAACCTCTGTAGCCCCTCCAGGAGCGGCTGCAGCTTGGGCTGATCATCCCTCGGGATGCCATACTTCCACCGCTCCGGGCAGCTCCCCACAATCCGCCCAGTGTAGGGGGGAAGTCCGCCGTCATCATTACGAAGGTAGAACTAGCTTGTGTACCATCAACGGTTGGATGACGCGAGCTGGGCCGGGATGTAGAGGTGCTGACGATCTTAGAGCACTTGGAGAGTGCAGCCGCCGGCCCTCACCGCCTTCCTCGTGCCCGACGTGCCCGCCGGCTTGGTGGTATGCCCCGCCCGGAAGAGATGGAGCCACAACTCCCAGTGGGGAGCAATCCCCAGATACCCCTCGCAGACAACGACGAAGATAGCCGCCTGCGCGATAGAATTGGGGTTGAAGTTGTGGAGCTCCATGCCATAGTAGTGCGGGAGCACCCGCATGAATCGGTCCGTAGGAACGCCGAGGCCGCGCTCGTGAAAGGACACGAAGCTCACGACGTAACCGTCGCGAGGCCTTGGCTCTGGCTCGCCCAACGGAGCGATCCACTCCGGCCTGTTGGGGTCGGTCACCGGGCGAAGGAGCCCGCCGTCGACGAGCGACTGAAGCATCTCCACGGTGGCGTCGGATGGATCCCAAGGGTCCACCTCGATGACAACAATATCGCCGGCCATGAGTGCGGTGGAGGGCTCGACTACGACGGTGAGTCTCTCTCTCTCTCCCTCGCCTCTTTCCTTTCTTCCTCCCGGGGCTCTCTGCTCTGGTGACGGCTCAAAGATAGCAAAGCTAATACGGGCAAGGTAAGGAGGAGAGGAGTGAGGCTCGTTGCGTATTTATGCAGGGTGAAGGCGAAACGGACGGGCGACGAAATCGGGGAAGTTTCCCTCAAATCCGGCGTGGTTAATCCTGATCCAATTTTACCGCCCGTGTGTCCACCTTTTCCTCATTAATCGCAGGAACAGTTACGTCCCATCTGCTGACGCCACGTCACATCTGACCGCTGCAGCAGCAGGCGTCGTTCCGCCTCCCCTAGGAAATCGCCTAAAAAGGCGCGCCAGCCGTTGTCGAACCGAGGGGGGAAATATCCCCCCCACCCTATTCCTTTTAGGTGAAGGAACCGGGCGCCGAGCCTATTACGGTCCAGGGGTTCGAAGGCTGGGCCCCTAAGGGTTTCGACAGCCGCCCCAGGGCAACAGAGTCAGGGGCGACCGTGGGCGAGCCCGTACATGGCCAAGACCCAAGCAAGCGAAACGCTTGGGACGCCCAAAGTCATGTCCGAGACCAGCAGGGAGTTCTCCGAATGGGATCTCACCATAGGGAGGCGCCGAGCCCCCGGGGCCAATCGAACGGCCCTGGGACCCAATAGAGAAGCCCTCTAGTACTTTTGGAGTGCGTCTCCGGACCGCTAGCCGACCCTTATCGAATGGGGCACGGGCCTCCACTCGGACTTACTCGATAGTAGCTCCCCGGAAGTGTCACCGTTCGCGCCCACCAAAGGTAGCCTGGCATATTCCACCCCTCCTTCCAAACAAAAAGAAAGCGCGAGGGTCGTATAAAAAAGCCAGGGGGAACCCCTGACGGACCTCCCCGCAGAGGCTAAGGGGCTCTCCCTACAACTTTGTCGAGACCCAGCGACCCAGGTTCGCACTCGAGGGAGCTCGGCAAGCAAACCCCTCCTTCCGAACGAAAAGGTTGCGCGAGGGTCGTACAAAAAGCCAAGGGTACTCCTGACGACCCTCTTGCTCCGGGCAGAGGCTAGGGAGCTCTTCCTGCAGATATGCTGAGGCCTCGTGACCCAGGCTCGCACCCGAGGGGGTCTCAGCAAACAAACCCTCACGCGCGAGAGGTGTATAAAAAGCCAGGAGAGCACCTGACGGCCCTCTCGCTCTGTGCAGAGGCTAGGGGGCTCTCCTGCAAGTTTGCCGAGACCCAGCGACCCGAACTCGCATTCACGAGCCCAGCAAGCACGATAAAACTCCTTGCTCAAACGGGAAAAAAGCCCCTGGAGGAGTAAACCCACTCCTCCAGGGCCTCGGGGGCTACACCCGGCGGGTGCGCTCGCGCGCACCCATCAGAACCACCAAGTACAAAACACGATCCCAACAGGAGCTGTTGCGAACCAAGTCTCATCAAAACTTCAGGAGAGTTCCCGCACTCCTCCCGAGGCTCGGAGGTTACTGTTGGATACCACAAGAAGGGGTACCCTAAACAAGAACAAAAAATGTTGCTTAAACCTTACAAAAATCAAAGTCAAAAGACTACCGCCAGGTCTCTGCAGAATTCTCCGATTCGCTCGAGGCCTGGCGCCGAGGCCTCATACGAAAGGCCAAAAGTGCCCCGCCGAGGCCCTCTCGCCGAGGCCTCGCCCCGAAAGGCCTCGGATAGGATGCCAATTCTCCGATTCGCTCGAGGCCGGGCTCGGCAAACATACTCATAACCTTCGTCCCGACCAAACTCCTCTGACGAAACGTCACGTCTAGATTAATGCGCCCAACTACTCCCGCAAACGTCGCCACCGACAGTCAGTGCATGCAGGCGGGCAGAACGATCGACGGATAGGGGACCCGCCAAGCGCATAATAGGTTACCCGCCATCGTGCTCTGTGCTACCTAACCCCTGTGCCAAGGACAAAGCAGCATGGAAGGTCAAGTCCATGTCCCTATAGTCTTGGAAACCGTAGGAGAGCCCAACTGCTCGTTCTACGCCTCGTCCGAGACCCCCCGGCAGGGTCTCAGACGTACTATTCCTTCTCTGCCTCGGCTGAGGCCGGGCTCGTCCCGCATCCTCATCATCTCCACCTCAACTGCCCCTCTGGCGGGCCGTCCCATCCGTGTAAGTACCCCTGGTTGCGCCTACGTCAGCCACGATTGGCAGGGCATAGCAACAGGGGCGATGGGACGACGGTCAAATCTCCTTTTTTACCATTCCCCACTGACGGTGCAGGGACTACCGTGCTTTGCGGACGCACGCCCTGCATTTTTCCACCTAAACCGGGTACGACGCTGACCACCGTGACCGCTGCATCTTACTCAGGTCACCTCCCAGGCCTCGGCGCGGTCGGCCACAAACACCTGCCAGGCCTCGGCGAACCACCAAGTCAAAAATTCACAAGGCACGGCATGTCACCTACAGAGGAGCCCATGCTGACTAAACGTCAACGAGGACCCCTACGACTTCAACAGCCTCAGGCATGGCCGGCATGACGCACCAGTGATCAAGTACCAATTGCCATTCCCGACACTGTGCTGCTACAGGAATAGGCCACAGTACTGGATCTTCCTTCCTCGCTAAGGCTCCACGTGTAGCTCTCTCATGTACTCCTGGCTCCCTCCTTGTGGCTATAAAAGGAAGCAGCCAGGGCCGTTTCTAAGGATCGAGACCACGCCGGCCCTCACGCGCAAAACGCACTCACTCAATTCACGCACGCTCCCACGCTGCCTGAGAGCAACGACTCAAGCAGCTCGCACCACTCCACGCCGAGACTTGGGACTAGCTCCCTCTCTCACCCAGCTTGTAACTCTCTAATAAAAGCACTTCGGTGCAAGGAATACAAGATCGATCTCCTAGACTGGACGTAGGACACCGATTGTCTAAACCAGTATAAACCTTATATCTCTTTGTATCACCATCCAAGATTAGAGACATGCAGTTCATATTTATCACCGATCATAGTTTTCCTTTGAAGCGGCCCATAAGACAGACCATAAGACAGACACCGATAGGCAGTCGAGGCTCTTTTAGCAAAAAGAAACTAGCAACTTTTTCCAGGGATAAAACACACACTGCAAATTCTTTTTACCACGATTGAAGCGCTAGCCACTCACAGGGCACAGGCGACAGGCCTACAACCTCAGTGCCAGGGTAGCGGGACATTTACGTATTTAGCACTATATATGATATATATGAGTCAGTCACATGGTATTTTTTATATCACTCACATAAATATGTAAAAATTCCCGGGGTTAGCAGCCTTCAAGCCAAGGCTAGTGATGTTGCGCGAAGGAGCCGAGGCACCCAGCGCCCGGTGCAAGGACCTCATCTCCACGGGGGCAAGGATCAAAGGCGGCTGGATCGCGGCACGAGCACAGTAGCCCGTGGACGGAGTCGAGGTCCACCTCTACCCGTCCGCGCCCCACACGGGCGCTGGCGTGACGCACCACCGCCGTCGGTGGCTTGGGTGCAGGCAAGGCGTTCGGCGGAACGCCCCCACGGCTCCCGAGCCGGCAAGGCCCAGCGCGGGGCGCGAGCCGGAGCTCCTGTCGTGGGCGGACCTCCCGGCGGACATCCTGGGGCTCGTTGTCGGTCGCCTCCCCCGCGTCGACGACCGCGCCAGGCTGCGCTCTGTCTGCCGGGCGTGGCGCGCCGCGGCGCGCGTTCACGGACGGCCGCCGCCGCCGCTCCCGCCGCTCGTGCTCTCCGACTTCTCCTTCTCCGCCTTCTGCGCCGACGGGGCTATGGCGGGCGGGCGACGCATCCCTCTGCCCTCACGGGAGATGGGGGCTGGCGTCCGCTGCGTGGGCTCCTTTCACGGGTGGCTCGTCGGCGTGCAGCTCAACAAAGGTCGCTACTTTGGTGACGGCCGGTGCTTCCTGATGAACGCTTTCTACCAGGACGTCGTCCGCCTCCCACCGCCTTCCGTAAACACCCACTCCCTCGATGCCTATAGTAAATCTCTCCCAATCGCCAATGGCTCTGGTGCAGTGCAATGCACGGTCAGTGGCGCCCAGTATGTGATGTCGTTCTGCAAGGTAGTCTTGTCCTCCTCACCGGACCATGATGGCAAGTGCATCGTGGCTGCTGCCTCCGTGCAACAGGAGCACAGCTAGCCTTGCCCTCTGGCGGCCTGGGATGACGTCGTGGTGCGTGTGCCAAGGTGGCTGCATCAGTAAGTTCAGTGACATTGCCTTGTACCAGGGAAAGGTCTACATGTTTAGCAAGGTCACCACGAACCTCTTTGTCTTTGACATCTCAGAAGATGAGAGTGGCCTGATGGTTTCTGGTGTCGAGCGCTGTGTGACTGAACTGCCTGAGGTCAAGGATAGCTATGGACAGAGGTGGAACATAGTTGAGTGGCATGGGAAACTATTGCTGGTTGTGATATACTTGGGACTTGAAGGCTGGCACAATATTTGTAAGATTGGGGTATTTGAGGTGGACCTGAGCACAAACCCTTTCCGATTCACTGAGATCAACAACTTGGATGGCGACTGCATTTTCATCAGCCCCTGCAGCAGCAATTCGTTCCATGCATGTCTGTATGATGGAGTCGAAGATGATCTCATCTACTTCATTGATGGTGGCCTCAACCACTCTAGAAATGCATCCCCTTTTGATAAATTTGTGTACAACATGAGGGATGGTACATTGGCGTCATTTGCTGTGGAAATAACAGAAGACAACCTTCGGGCACCAGATGGCAGCCTGATGAATCCAACATGGCTCTTTCCTTCTGAATGAACATCTGCAAGTCTGATAGAGCCGAAGCACTGCTGGTACATGGTGTGAGGCGCCATGCTATTTCATTTCCAAGAACTGGATTCAAGTGTATGCTGTTTGTTTTTATGGATGGTTTCCATTTCCACAGTGCTTATCTGACGAACTTTAATTGGTAGTAAACTGATGTGCACTTTGTTTTAATATTTCGATGTAGATTGTTAGTGGTTGCAGCTGTCTGTTTGCTTCATCAATAAGTGTTGTAACGACATGTAAATCCAGCATCGTACTTTAGTATGCAATGTGTTACTTGCCATTCTGTCAGACTAGCTAATTAAGCATCCTAACTGCTTGGAACAATCTCTCTGGTGATTGGTTTTCACGCACATGATGACATGAAGAGAGAGAATGCCAGATGCTGACTAAAACTTCTAAAAGGTAGACCCTATTATCGACCTCATAAGTTCTAATGATGTCAAGATGATGCCTATTGACATTGTGTATGCAGTTCTTGGCTTCACCGGGTCTTATCTTACTTTTGCACGAAAATCACATATACCTTACTTAAATGTGTTTATGCTGCAAGCACATTAGTTATGTAATAGTAGTGGCAATAACGATCATTTGAGCATCTAAAAATAACTTCTATGCAAATGTAGTGTACTTGTTTTGTAAAAGATTTGGTTTCCAGTTTCCACTCAATTTGAGCTTAGGGAAAAAATAAATCACTGGAAGTATATTTAGCTTGATAATGCTTTCCTGTCTATTCAGTCTAGAGTATACTACTTTCCTGCCTATTTTTACAAAGATCCTTGACTACACTAACTTGATATTAGAAAGAAAACGAAACATAATGCTATCAACCTTCCAAACTCCATGTTGAAACCAAATGATAATACTTACGAATCCACAAAGAAGGGCTGCCCATATACGCAAATTGATTGGAAGTAAGTTCATTCTACTTATATTAAATAGCCAATATCATCTTTATTGGCAACATAAGGTTTCTCATTTTCCATTTGCTAAAGCATGTTCAGTCTTCAGTGAACCCTGTGTTTTAGATCAAAGGCATTCACCCGGCTTTATTGAAAGCTTAACGAAAGCCCAAGATCCAAGGCTGGGATTTCCAACTTAAATAGAGAGACCGAAGTTTAACTCGACTCACAGTTCGACTCTAACCAGACCTCTAAAACTTCAGCAAAAGAGGAGGGTAAACACAGGAAGGACTAGAGAGCCACGCCTCTACCCTCACCTACCAGAAACTCAAAATCTCAAAAAGACGACAGAATTTAGATAACCACGGATTCAAAGTACACCCCAGAACTCAACTAAACCTGGCTCAGAGCCACCAAAGACTGTCATCTAGATCTAATAAGCATTTGCCGAGAATAGAGAGAGCATTTCATCCGCCACCGGCTTCAGTTTTGGCTTCAACAGAGGACGCCATGAACTGAACCTTGTGTTTTCTGTTCAAAATTTATGAACATTACCAATATTTCCTACATGCTACATGGAACCATAACCATTTGCACATCGAGCAATATCTACATAGTATGGCTGCCCTTCATGTGACGAAACAGACAAACACAAATCCAAGGAATAGTGCCACTATTTTTACTTGAAGTACTGGACACCTCAGACCTCATGACGCTGTCACTTTGACCACTGAGCAGGCGACGGTGGGAACAAGGAAATTAGTCAAAGGAGATAACGGTATTGTAGGCCTATTTTTTTGAGCAAATTTGGCAGATTGCACAGAGGTTTGCAACCTATCCTAATTAAAGTCTCTTGGATTGATTTGCTCTACATGTTCTTTTGGTAAGACTTAAAATTTTAATGCATGTTAGTTCTCTGTTGTTGTCTTTGTACGCTTACAGTTTAGCGCTTCCCATCGTTAAGTTTTCAACTTTGGTCCTATACTCCTAACAGTCGAACTGAAAATAGGCCATCTCAGTTGGATCCCTCTTCATTACAGATTAATCCAAAAAAAGTAGAGAGAGTCGTTTTGAGGTTGTCTTAAGTCAAATGTTTTAAACTTTGACTACAAATAAATTCTTTTGGGTTGAGTTTGAAAATATGAAAGTGGTGTAAGTAGATTCATCTCGAAATGTAGTTTTATAAAAGTATATATTGATTATATTCTATAAATATTTTATAGAAAAAATTAGTGGTCAAAGTTATTTTTTGGAGACCGTGTCGATGTCCAAAACGACTTTCTTTAGGGACATGGAGGGAGTAGAAGGTTATAGATCCTTTTCATTACGTTTTGGTCTAAATCACTTTGTATCTATTTTATTTTCAGAATCTTGGTGTGGCACAACACATTGAACAAGGAATAGAAGATTAGAAGATGTTGAAGAAATAATTATGATTGCTACTTTCAAAATGTGTTTATTTACTTAGAACGAAGAAGTCTTAAATTAGGTGAAATATTTGGTTGATCCTCTGTATCATAGCCTCGACATATATGCGCCAAACTGTTGCTACCATTGAAAGTCATCTTAACTGTTAAGACCCATAGTGGAATTAATATATGACACATCCTCTACCAGCGTCCACTTTACTTTTTCAGAGATTAATTGTTATATAAGTAGACAGCGGCAATAACACAAGAGAGCAAACGCAACAAGAACGGGGCCGAAGCTTCCCACGGATCAGCTCCCCAAGATCGAACTGACATCCATAGGCTGGTGCCCTCTGATGAGGGCGCGGCAAAGCCACGCCTGGCTTTTTTTTTAACATGGAAGAGCTCTCACTCATAAAGTGATGTCAAATTTTTGGCAACCAGTAAACGAACACAAGTAAATCTTTGGCAACTAGTAAACGAATACAAGATGGAATGCTGTCCTGAATCGGATCAGCACCTGGACTTAGCACAGCTAAACTATGAGCAACCATATTACAAGAACGGGGATTATGAACTACCCATACGCGCGCGGCTGGCTTTCTTCTAGCAATAATCAAAAGCAAAAAAAAAAAAAAAAAAAAAGACCAAAACAAGAAAATTGCAATTATAGGACACCAAACAATGCGCTTCGTAATTATAGGACTCCAATCGTCGACTTCGTTAAAATGACCCTTGAAACGTTTGCTTCTTATTTTAGATGACATTTGGTGTATTTCTTCACTTTGTTAATCAAAATACATGTATTTTGGCCCTCTTGTGACCCTTCTGTCCTTCTGCTTTTGTATCGTTGATCGATCGTACCAATTCATCTACCCGATGTTCCTCCTTCCCTCTGAGACCGACGCCGCCCTAAGCACCGACGCCACCGTTCCTCCTTCCCCTCCTCCTGCTGCCGTACCCTTCCCTTCCTCGACTCCCATGGATGGATCGCCGCCCAAAGATGATGATGGCCGCCCGATCGTCATTGAGGGCCAAGCAGCCGCAGCCCTGGTGGCCTCTGGCCTTGCCGCGCGTGCTGAGGGCCTGGCTGCGCCGGCCGCGCCGGCTGATGGAGGTGTTTCGCCGGCAGTGGAGGCCTCTCCCAACACCATGTCCAGTGCTCTAGCCCTAGCCAGAACGTTGCTGCCCACTGTTCCTCTTTCGACAGTAGAGTACAACCTTCCTATTCTTGAAGTGCAAAGGAATGCCTTTATGTTTTCTGTTTTTTTACCACGATAGTAGTAGACAGTATTTAAACTTGATATCACTTGATGAGTTGTCTGCTTTTACCTAGAAAGCTTTTCTAGAACATGCAGGACAACTCATCAAGAATCGTCGGAGATCATCCTCATTTGCCTGTAGAGAGAGGGGTGAGTTAGTTTAATGAATTTTAGGAGCTAAGTGCATCTAAGAAACAGAAAATAACATACCTTCAAGTCAATATTTGACACAAAAACTGTACACTTGTCATTATAGAAGGATGGCTTTGGTTCATTTGAACTTGATTTCCCTATTTGGCTGTCACCATCCACTTTCATCTCCATAGATGCCACGACCTTCTCCCTGCTGGCCTCTCCAACTTCTACAGTAGTAACGGCACCACTGTGCCCACTTTGTAGATTTGATCCTTGGTCATTTGATGGCATGGTGCTTTTTGGTGGATTCTCTTTTCTTTTCTTCGCAGGGGGCTGCTGTTTATTGGCCATCTTACTTGGTTTTCTTTTTTGAGAGGAATCATTTGCATTAGAATTATCATTGGGGTTAGGGTAAGCCTCAACTTTAGCCTCCTCTTGAGACTTAAACGTCATAAGCTCCTTTAGCCGAGGCGTAACCTGGTCAAATAGAAGGATAATAAGGCGGCGGACTATAGTTGACATGATAAGTTGATAACCCATGCTATCATCAAATGTACACAGTTCAGTTAGAAACACTTTAAACAGTTGAATAGATATCAACTTATCATGGCTAGAACTTTAATCCCTGCAAAGATTCAATAACAAACCCAAGGGGCCAACAGCTGATGATTGCACATAGGATTTAATCACATGAAAATCTGAATGATGTCAAAGCTTTCATGACTAATCAAACTTTATGCAGAAGGAACCAGGAATCTTCAGAAAATTATGTTCCCATGGTTGATAATCAATAATTGGTATGACAGATCTTATGTATTGCTCCTTTTTATCAAATGCACCAAAATAAGTGATTCATGTGTAGATGACAAACTGAAGAAACAATCACTCACATGCTGAAGGACCATGCAAGGCACACCAAGCCAGTTTAACTTTATGTTCGCAAGAAAAAAATCCAGTTTGCAACCAGAAAAGCCAAGTGAACAAGCGAAACAGAAGAATACCTTCTTTACAGCAAGGTCATAATCATCCAAGGTGCCATTCTCCTCTTCAAATCTTATCCATGACTCCATGAGTGACATATCTCCTAGCAAGTTTCAGATCACAGCTTTCGAAAATAAATCATCAGTATTAATGAGAATTATCATGTTGAAACATCAATACTTAAGCTACTATTTAAGAGTCTGGTTCATAGGAAGCAGCAGGAGTACATCAGTAGCTACATAACACAGGAACTCAGGTAGCGTCAAAGTAACCATACATATTCTCAGTAGCTACATAACACAAGAACAAAAGAATAATTTGCAGAGTAAAAAATAAGCCTTTTCATGATTGCGTTTTCCCAAACTCCACGAGCTGCAGAAAGATCTTTGCCAAGACTACGCTCTAGTTTTGCCCAATAAGCATATAAGCGCAGTAATTCCTTGGTATCCAGTTGAGATGAGAGGAATTCTGCAGCATCCTGATATTAAATCACATTATTAATTATAGTAAGAATTAAGAAAATATGTAAATGATGAAGTGATAGAAATAATGTACCGTTAATGTCTGCCTAATCAGTTGAAAATCCAACCCATCAGAAATCCTCCGTCTTAAACCATGAACTCGAGTAAGATAAATATTGAGATACTGCAATTGTTCAGACATCCAAATTTACAGACTGGATGCAAATACGATAACCTCTGTTACTTGAAAACTAAAGCCAACATTTAGTCAATTATTATTACTGAAAATGCAGACTCTCAAATGAACACAACTAAAGGCCTCTGCTGGCTGTAGTCCTGCACGTCACACCAAACAGAGTCAGTAACCCAAGCAACCTCGAAACCACCATGAGAAGGGGGACCTCTTTCAGGGCTACTGGCCGTACTAGCGGTGGGAAGCAGTCCTCGCGCGGCACGGCACGGAGAAGCCGCCGTGCGTGCCGGTGTCAGAGGCCGTGAGCGTCTTGCAGAATATGTGCGGCGTCCGTGCGAGCGGCTTCATGGCGGCCTCGTCCTCGCCGTCGCGACGCGCGTCCTCGTCCTCCCGAACCCGCGCCCGCGCCCGCCTCTCCGCGTCGCCGCCGATGTGCTCGAGGTGGCCCTGCGGCAGGTACAAGATGGCATTGCCCTTGCGCGGCAGTGGCGCGACGGGTCCCGCGCATGCGTGCCACAGCTCCAAGCACACGGGGCCACCGGCCCTGGCGGCCACAGGCGGCACCTCCGCCTCCGCCTCATCCTCCTCCACGGTGTTGAGGTCAATGCCCGCCATGGCCCCGACCGGCCGCAGCAGCTGGCTCCACGGAAGGAGCATACGACGGCAGCAAAACGCCGGTGCAGCGAGGGATGGAGCTGAGGAAGCGAGTGAGTATCCGAGTAGAACAGAAGGGTCACAGGAGGGCCAAAGTACATGTATTTTAATTAACAAAAAAAAATGCTAAATATCATTAAAATAAGAAACCAACGTGTTAAGGATCATTTTAACGAAGTCAGGAAGTCCTGTATAATTGCAATTTTCTCGACCAAAACAGATCCAAAAGCCGCACGCGATTTTCTTGCCACCGCGGCCAACACTGGTGGACCCAGACACCGGACCGCCACGCTCCTGCCGCCGCCGTTGCCTACGAGCCCAGGATGCTCCGCGGCGCCATCTCCCGCCTTGGCGCTCGCCTCCGCCTCCACGCCGACCCTTCCCCGGCCTCTCCTTACCTCCGCGCCCTCTCCACCCGCCGCGGCAAACGCTCCTCCCCCACCGTGTCGCCCGCCGACTCCGATGACGAGGGACCCCTGCGTGGCCTCTTCGTGCTATCCCGCGACCCCGAGTGCCCGCCGCGGCTGCTGGTGGTGCAGCCGCGCCTGCGCCCCGGAAGCCTCCTCGACTCCGAGCTCGCCGAGGCACTCAACCTCGCCAACTCCCTCGAGGAGCCCCGCGACGGCTTCTACCACAGCGAGTTCGGCGCCAAGGGCGCGCCGCCGCACCTCGTCGTCCAGAACCCCGCCTCCCGCGGTCGCTCACATGCCGGTATCCAGCTATATGCCTCACCATTTCTAGTGCTTAGCTCGATGGCTCTAGTGGGAGTGTTTTGGTTTGCATTTCTGTCACATTACGGATGTTTGGCCTTTTCCCACATTCACCATAAAGTGAGGTTTTGTAAGAATTGCCCGAAATCCCGGTCTAAGCTCTACTGCAGTAATGTGCGCGGGTAGTGACTCAATGCTTGAGTTGTTTTTCAATCAATCATTCTTCTGTGTTAACCAACCGGAGGCTGGTTATATGGTTTGAGATGTAGTCTGCATTAGGTAGGTTAGGGACTTAGGGTATACTCTAGTAGTGCACATAGGGTACGTTGTTGGGCTGAAGATGTACTTACTTTGTGTTTTTTAAACGGGGTGGCCTGATGGAATCTTTTTTGTTCTCTGTTGAGCTTCTCGAAAGTGACATGATGTCTGTCTTGTGAGATTGCTTGCACCCTTTTTTTTAGTGTTATTGTTGTATGGATTGGTGTACAATTTGGATTAGCATAGTTACACATACTGAGGTGGGACTTCCCACATGGCCTAGTGGTATTGCAAGTTCGTTTACATTGCGTGTTCATAGATTCATTCTCCATAAAATTAAATATATGCTCTATGTAACAGCTCATATTCTCATAGAGGCTGCAAAATTTTCTTCCCCTCTTTTTAAATTGCAGCCTGTTGCATAGTAGCTCTTAATTTTATTCTGCAGCTTGCCCATATGTAACCCAGAGTATGCACATCCTGGCATTGTATTTGATAAGATAGAGGGTTAAAATCTTGTGGTTCAGTTGGTTGGTTTGTGCAGTTCTGTTTTTGTATCGAACCATTGTTGCTGTAATTCTCATTTTTTTCTTTAACTTCTTTTTTTCCGATTGGTTTGCTAGCATTTAAACTTTTCTGTCTACTTAGGTAGGCTACACATATTTATGGCTAGAACTACAAAACAAATCATTATATTTGACAGTTTATCATGTCAGATACATATTTTGGGCCTGGAACTGTGGATAATGTCAAGTGCTACCTGAGGGCATCAGAATCAGAGGTGCACTTTCTCTGACCTTTTACATGAGTAGGGCTGTGGTAGACGATGCATCACCCATTATTGTCCCTTCTTGGTGTTTGCGCTTGCTTGAAGTTGCTGTTATAACTCGTGATGTACTGACAATTCCCACAAATATGCTACATTAAGTAATCTTCACTCGTTTTGATCCTAACAGGAATACGTGGATGCAGTTTTTGTCAATGCGATTCTCTCTGGAATCCAACAGAGAAACTTGGAGGCAAGTGTCATTTTCTCTCTCTCCTCTTTTTCCTCAAATGTGCCCATGTTTTCCCTTTGTGTTGAAAGTTTGCAATAACCTTGCATTTGACTTAGTGACCCAGAATAACATACTGCCTTATTGTTTGTGTTAACACCTTGCTTAGCAGGTTGCCTGGGGAAAGCCGGTTTTGGATCGTGTTGGGCTTATAATTGAAATATTCAATGCTCACGCTGAAACAAAAGAAGCAAAGTTACAGGTGTTTGTTTGTCTATATATTGGACTATATGTTACTATGTCCAATATTTGTGGGGGTGGGGATATGGGGTATGCGGGTCTTCGTTGGACACACTGTATTTATAAAATGGCCTGGCATTGGTATTTGTTTAAGTATTTTACTTTGTCTGTCACTTTATGCAGTCAGAGTTGGCAGCTCTCATGTACATGAAGACTAGGCTTGTTCGTGTACGTGGCCCAGGTGGACGACTAACTTTTGGTCCAAGTGGGGAGGCTGAGGTTGTCAGTGCAAGAGGGTAAGCTTCTTTTCTGTTGCATTTAATAACTGTGGATAGTAATTTGTTTGATTTTATGAATTTACACGTGCATTTGGGGGGTAGGGGTTACGGGGCGGGAGATATTGTGTTCATGTAACTACAGTTGATTTCAATGTGAAAGATATCAAATTCTTGATAGTTTCAAACGTTATGAATTCTGTTTAGAAGGTTTGGAAATGAGGGTTCGGGTTGTAAGGCATCATTAGAGAAGAATGGAGGGAGTATCCTCAATTTGCATATGTTTAGTTGGTGTGGCTTCATTATGAACTAGCTCATGAACTTGTGGGCATAATGCCAACCTAGATGCACAGATGTCTTTGGAAGAAAAAGTATTTACATTACATATGGATATCGTTCTTATGTTCGTATCTGTAATTGCTAGTTAAGTAATGCTATATCCATGTGGTGACATGAGTTATGACAAAATCCAACTCTCTGTAGCTCTTAATGTCATGCTTGTTGAATTTTCTTGTTTTATTTGTTATACTTTAGATTGAGTTGTACCGGATGCACATAGGAAAAACCCACAAAGTATTGTAAATAAAACAAAAAAAAGTGAGAATACATACATTTCCTTCTCTGATTTCTACAGTAGTTTAATTAATGTTTTGCCCTGGTTAACATGCTGTCTTGGACAGTATCTGTTGTTACATGACATTTTTGTACAATTGAAAATTTCACATAATTTTGGTATAGTCAGGAGGATCCACATAGTATCTTCTGCAATATTATATTGATCTGTAATACTAATACATTATTTTTATAATTGTTGTTATTCTATTCTACTTTCCTGAATTGGTCTCATAATAGGTTGATCAATTCATCTGAAGTGATGATTCATTCGTTTTTTGACACATCATTTGTTTGATTATTGTTAGATCATTGGATGCAATGCTCATGTTGCTGTTGTATTGTTCAGGAGAGGTAGTGGGGGGAGGGGATTCATGAGTGGTGCTGGTGAAACAGAACTTCAACTACAACGGAGGAGGTGCTTGACAATTGATAGATGATAAAAGTTATCTAAAGTTGCAGCTCATAACAATTTCCCATTTTACTTTACCCACAACTCTTCCAGAATCCAAGAGCGCCGTGTGAGCTTGTTAGCTCAAATCGAAGATGTACGCCGTACTAGAGCAATACAACGTTCAAGTCGGAAAAGACATGGTGGCTCGTTTGGTCAAGAGCTTGTAACTGTTGCAGTCGTCGGATATACAAATGCTGTATGCAGATCCACTAAAATAGTTTTTTTTAACCTATGTGTCTTTGACAACTACTAACTATACTCCTTCAGATCACCGTGCAAAATGTACTTGAACTTTCTACAAACTAAATCTTGCACTTAATCGAGTTCTTTGATGTTCTTTTCATAGGGGAAATCTACGCTTGTGAGTGCACTTTCTGAAGCTGATCTGTACAGTGATGACAGGTATGCTGAAATTAGCTTCTACTTGTATTCACTTGCAGCAGCTATGACCAGAGAAATCATGCTCCTATTTTGGTTCAGGCTGTTTGCAACAGTAGATCCCCGGTTACGAAGTGTGATTCTTCCATCAGGGTACTGTAGAAAATATGTTATCATATATTGGTAAAGCTGATTAGGTTTGCACTGGTTTAGCCCGTGACATTGCATTTGTCTATTCAGGAGAAAAGCACTTCTTAGTGATACCGTTGGCTTCATCTCAGATTTACCAGTACAGGTAAGTTTTCTCTTGCGCTTGAATATTGGAGATCCATTTTGAAAATTAAGTTTTTCCAGGTGTAGTTTATCTTCTGGCAATTGGCACTATAATCTTGTAGGCAATGGAGTAGGTAGAAATAGTGTTACTCAGACATTTTTTCCTGAGTCGGACAGCTTACACAAGTGTAAGATTCCAAGAGATATTTGGCATGTACCCATAAGGTTTGCTGAATTGGACACCCACACCCGAGTTGAATACTTCAACCCGAAGTCTGAACCGGGCTCCATGTAAGATTTGGAGGTAGCAATGGTCCATTGGGTTGCTTCCTCAGCCATTTCTAAAACCAATATTCACATTATTATTAGTTTTAAACATCCATGATTTTAATATATGGTTGAATCCAATTTCAAGTAATAAAATTGTAGAAGTCTGGTCTTTTTAAGGAATATTTAGTTTCCTTTTACATGGCTATCAAGGCATTGCCTAGGTACTGCTTTGTCTTTGATGGTAGGCGGTCATTTTATGGCTGCATTGCATGGAGAAGGAGGTGGAGTTAAGTATGTAGAGCTCCTCGCAGATAAAGCTCGGCACACCTCCTGTATGAACCTGAAAACAATGCAGCTCCTATTGTTGGGATTCATGGTAAAGAAAGGAGACACAGGAGGGAGGAGCGAAGAGGTGGCAGAAGAGGGTGTGAGCCCTAATGCACTGTTCATGGTACATGTAGAACCAAGTGGGCCATAACTGAATCATGCGGAGCCCTTCCTTTAATTCCTTTTCTCCTCTGTTCTTCTTCCTTCTGGCAGCCTCATCCTCTTCCATTTCTCTACTGCTACCACCTCATCCGCTTCAACATTGCTGCTGGCGCCACTGCTGCCTCCTCACCGCTATCTTTTTCTCATCCACCTCTGCCACTTTACACTTCACGTCTTCCCTTTTCCTTCATTGTGTTGATGCCTATACGTTAAGATAGCAAGCAGGCTCCTTGCCTCAAGCCTTCAATGCCCAATAATTTATTTTTTACTGCTTTGGCAACCTTGACCTTTCTTCTGCATTGTTTGACACTTCCTGCTCCTATTTTATGTCATCTGTAAATTACACTATGTCAAGGTTATTGTTAACCTCTTTATTTTGTTTTTTCCCAGCTAGTGGAAGCATTTCGTGCGACCCTAGAAGAAGTCGTTGAAGCAGACATGTTAGTGGTAGGTTTTGTTACTTTTCTTCTCCTGGAAGTCTGGAGTTGAACATGACTTATGATGTACTTTCAATTTCCTTATTTAGCAACAAAATTTCTTCAGCCATGTGTGTTTTACTTATCAGATGCTGCTCTAGTTCTAAGATATAAAATTGTTTAGAGAATAAGAGAAAAGGACTAAGGTCTCGCTTTATCTTATACGCATTGGTGCAGCATGTGTTGGATTCAAGTGCATCTAATCTTGAAGAGCATCGATCTACTGTATTGCAAGTACTGCAGCAGATAGGTGTTTCTCAGGAGAAGATCAACAGTATGATTGAAGTTTGGAACAAGGTACCTACTGAGACTTGAGTTTTTTTTCTTGGCATTTGGCAATAGATTGTTGGTTTTCATTATTTTTTTTTCTTTTCTATTGGGGCATTCCAGATTGATCTTGTGGATGAGAATGTTACATCTGATGGGATTGAAGATGAGATCTTCCTGACCGAAGGTGAAGAGGAGGATGACATATTCTCTGAAGATGATGTTCCATCAGAACAATCATCTTTTGATTCTGTAGATGATGGAGCAGATTCAGAATATTTATCAGAAGAAAATTTTGAAGATAGCAATGATGAAGTGTCATCTAAAGAGTCATTTTCTGAGCCAACCGAGATGGAGGCAATGAAAGAGTTATCATCAAAAGAATGTTTTGGAGAACTTCGTGTCCCAGATACAAATGGATGCACTTTGCCACAACCAACTTCCACTTGTCGTGTAAAAACTTCTGCTGTGACCGGGACAGGGTTGCAAGAGTTGTTGGCATTGATAGATAGGAAACTGACTGAACAACAAACTGTCGTGCAAAGAAGCTACGGACCTTTCGACAGAAAATGGAGACCTAGCTCTGTGGATGGTGAAAAGGCTGCAGAGCAGTAGGTATGCAATACCTCCTTATTCCCCTCTTCTATATGCTGCTGAGATCAATAGCAGTATAGCAATCAGTTTGAGTTTGCATCCGTAGAGATGGAAACTACGCAGTGTGTTTGGATATGCGTTTGTGCATGATGTATCATCCAAAGAGTATCTTGATATTCTTTCTGCATAACTTTTGCATCAGAAAGATTGAAGAAACTGTAGGAAGGGACCGTGTGGATTTTGATCAATGCGAGTCACTTTAACAGACCTTTTGTACTCATGCTTACTGTTGTTAGATACTAGCATCTTATATTCTGATAGGTATGTTGTATTTATGCTTATCATAATATTGGCAAATACCTACTGAAAGGGGAAAATTTGGAATTGAGGACATTAAACATCATTCGTTCTAATCGATTTTTTGTACCTTTGTTCTGGTCGCATGGGTGGCGTAAGAGCAAGCCCAATAATAGAGCCAAAAGTTTTTGGCTATAAGACTAGCCACAACGTTTCCGGTGCTCAAAAAACATCTCTACCTGCCACCTCATATCGATGCCGGAAACCATATATGGCCACAGTGTCAACCTCGATGCTTTACTGTAGGTGGGACCAAAGTTTCAGAAGGTGCGTGCTCACTGCCTCACTGCTCAGCGTGCCGAAGAGCAGGACCACGACCAACGGCTGGCTAAAAAAATATTTTTTTATTCTTTCAGCATCGAGTCACCAACATTCCTCGATGCCAGCATTTTTTCTCCAAGCATCGATAGCTGCAATGTGCAATCCGATGCTCAAACACTCTCTCTCTTGTTTCAAGCATCGCCCAATTCACACGCTGTGGCTAGTCTAAGTCAACTTGTGAAAGTCAAACTATACAATCATGTGTGCGACTGGAGGGACCGTTCCCTGATACGCGGCCCTACGTTAGTGCGTGGCACATCTGGCCTTTTTTTTGTGTGCAAAAGGTGTTCATTAAAACGCTAAAAAAATACAGTGATCCGTATATCACTCCATGATAGGTCTATGCCTATGCTAAAAAATAGCAGTCATTGTTTCTTGCCACTCAGCCAACCAGATTCGTGCGATGTTGTCAAAAAAAAAAAAACCCAGATTCGTGCGAGCGTGTTGTTGTAATTTGGCGACGTACTTTTAGCATCGATGCCTTTTCCTCTCAATTTTTGCAGATTTAGTAAAAGGATGCCTTCAAGATATCAGGAGTTACAGAGACATTGCACTGATCAATTCTAAAAGTGAACTACCATTATCCGGATATGCGGAACAGTAGGTCCGGATTGTGTTGTTCGAGACTCAGACTCTGTTCTTCAATCATACTCCTGCAACGAGACAAAGCACAAGGCTCTATAGATACCAATGTCCCCCCTTTTTTTATAACCAATTTCCCCTTTGATTGTACAAGTATGTTACACTTTAGAGAAAAAAAAGAAGATTGTATACTGTTAGTAACCGTGTTTCTCTTCCCTACACGGCTACACTAACCTTTTGATAATTTGTGGTTTCGTTTGCTTAATAGGTGTCTTCTCAAACGAATAGACAACAAGCCCTTTAAACCGAAATACATGAACGTGGAATTCATTCCTCAGTGAAACTCAAATGACATGTATTTGTCATCCCATTACTTGTCCACACGAGGGAAACCATTGGCCCACCACTTCACTTTATTTTGCTAGAAAATGATATTATTCTTAGTTTCCGATGAGTTCAGATGTGCTGCTGCTGTTGGAATAGGGTTTCCTTGTTGGAAATGAAATTATTGATAGATAGGAGGGGAAACAAAAAAAAGAATATGGTTTCTTTGAGAGATTATAGACAGATGAAGGGAAATAAATAAAAAGGAAAAAAATAAAAGAAGGGCTCACAAATGGGCAATTTAATTTATTGCCACTCTTACGGTTGCCACTCCTCCAGTTGCCAGTGTTAAAAGTGCTCCTACATATTTGCCACTGCATGCAATTCGCCTCCTACGAATTTGCCATTTTCGCCGACGTGTCGTGCCAGATGGACTCGCCAGCGTGGAAGGCAGCCTAGGAACCCTATTTGGGCGTGGCAAATGACCATACTGCCCCTCCTCCACCTCACGTTCTTTTCTGGGCCAGGCAAAGGACCGATCCCGGACCGAGAAGCCACCGACTCTACTCCAACTCACGCAGCGCCCTCTCCCTGAACCTCATGGCGGCGGCGGCAGACAATCAGGAGGCGCCGACGACCTCCCCGTCGGCGTAGCCAGTCCAGCCTCGGGCCAGGTCGCCACCCCCACTCCGGCTCCCGCCTCCATCCTCCTCTCCCCCATTTTTCTTCTGGCCGCGGCGGCGGTCAAGGCAGTGGCGGCGGTCAAGTCAGCGGCGGCGGCCACTTCCCCAGCCACAGCCGACGTACTGTCCCCATTCTTCGACGCACGACGAGCAGTAGGTACGAATCGTACTCCCCTGAACATCATTTCGCCCAAATCTGTTGAACCTAGGGTTTCAATCTTATTTTTGTTACATCCAATGTAGTCACACTGCGGTTATTGTTGATTCGTATGCATTAAGATGAAGGGGACTGGCTGCCCTCCTTGGTAAGTTCGAGCTTGCATGTGCTGTAGATTTTGGGATCCAGCAATCATTTCTTCTACATTTTTTTAATGTGCTTATAGTTTTGTCCAGGATTGATCCTAGAAATGCTTTTAGAATCCATGTTTGTGTTGATAAATACACAGCCACTGGTGATTATGATGATAGTGTGGAACTTTGGGAAAGGAGAAGGAAGATTTCGGTAGCCATGTCAGGGGACATTCTACCAGCTATAATTCATCAGTTAAATGCTGCCAGCAAGGGACTTGGTCATCTAAAAGTGCTCAAAGGAAATCCTAGAGAAGCTGAAGTTGCTATATGGTACCAGGGTGAGGAAATTAGAAGGCATGTGGTTTACCTTGAAGAGCAGACGTGCACATGTAGGGAGTGGCAAGTTAGTGGCATGCCTTGCTCACATGCTCTTGCAGTGATTACTGTTGAGAGGCAGCCAGACATGAGCAAATATGTGCATGAGGCATACAGTGTGAAGAAGTTGCAATCAGCTTATGCAGGAGTCATACCACACATAACTGACAAGCAACAATGACCTAAAGTAGACAAGGGTTTCAAGGTTTTTCCACCTATGGTGAAGGACCCTAAACCACTAGGCAGGACCAAGAAGAATAGAACCCTAAGCTGTTTGGAGAGGTCAGGCAAACCAACAAGACAAGTGACATGTAAGGGCTGCGGTGAACTTGGCCATAGAGCAACTAGCTGGAGGTGTAGCCTCACAGGGACTAAGAAAAGGTATATTACATTTTCACTTTCTTTGTTTCTTGTCACACTTAATTACTAACTTTCACAAATATTTGTGTATAGGAAGAGGACCAAGAAGACAGCAACAAAGCCTGGAAGGAAGAAGCAAAAAACTATTGAAGATTCAGCAGAAGTGGGAGAGGAAACACCAAGAGCCAAGAGGGCAGCAGCCAGGAATGAAGTAGTAGTGGGAGAGGAAACACCAAGAGCCAAGAGGGCAGCAACAAGGGAGGCAAAGGCGACGGCAGAAGCAGCAGGAGCAGCAAGAGAGGCAATAGCACAGCCGCCATGTTTGGCTCTTGTCCCAGTAGCAGCATCAATGGAGGCAGCCCCACCATGCCAGAGGTTTGTTGCCACCATTGACTTGACAAAAAATCATAAATACAAATCTAACTATTTGTTCAATGTAGGAGGTTGGACTTGGAGGAACCGATGGGATTGGAGATAGTACCAACAGCTGCTCCAAAGAAAATGACACCAAGGAAGAAACAACTAGCATCGAAGGTGAAGAAATCCACACCAACAAAGGCTGCCAACTAAGCTTCTGTGTTGAATATTTTGCATGCGTGTTCTTTTCTGGATGGACCTGTTATGTATGGACATGTATAACTAATGGCTATCATGTGCCACTACTTTAACGAAACTATTCAGTCATGGATCAAGGATCTATTTTGTATGGCCATGTACCACTAATGGTTGTCATGTGCCACTGCTGTAAGAACTAATGTCAATGACCGTGGACCTTTTATGTATGGATCTATGCATGTTGTTGGATCAGTTATGTATGTTGTTATGGTAATTTGTGGCAGTTTGAGCTTGCATTTTTCAGCATATATGCACCATGTTCCATATACATGTTCCATCAGTAGTACACAGGAGGAGTGGGGGTGAGAGAAGCTGCGAGAGTGCTGTGGGGTGCCTCTGACCCAACCGGGACCAGCCTGGGAACAAAAGAAAAGGGCGAGGGGTAGGAAGGTCATTTGCCAGGCCCAAACAGGCCTCCTAGGCTGCCTTCCACGCTGGCGAGTCCATCTGGCATGATACGTCGGCGAAAATGGCAAATCCGTAGGAGGCGAATTGCATGCAGTGGCAAATATGTAGGAGCACTTTTAACGCTGGCAACTGGAGGAGTGGCAACCTAGGGTTTCCTTGTTGGAAATGAAGTTATTGATAGATAGGAGGGGAAACAAAAAAATGTTTTCCTTGTTGGAAATCAGACGAGGGGAAACAAATAAAAAGGAAAAATAAAAGAAGGGGACACAAATAGCCCAATGAGTTCAATATTCAGATGTCCTACTACCGTTGGAATAGGGTTTCCTTGTTGGAAATGAAGTTATTGATAGATATGGGGGGAAACAAAAAAATGGAGCGACTAGCGCATGGATGTCTGGACGCGGCGTCTGTCCGAACGCTGCTCCTGCGCCCGCGCCCATCCCCGTTCCAGAGGCAGCGAACGGAGCTTCCCGCGCCTACGCTCGACGCACGCAGGTGGAGGCCCACGTCCCATCCCGCCCGATGCGCCGCGCCCACGCCCATCCAGCTCCACATCCTAGCCAATCCGCCATGGCATCCCGTCCCCGTCGCTCTCATGTTCACGGCCTCCACTTGGGCACACCAGGGAGCTACAACAGCTGGAACACCGAGGGCTTAGGCTTCCTCCACACCTACATCCAGATTTACTTTTGCAACACTTAGAAGAAACAATTGCTACATATGTCTTAAACAAATGAAACATTCGGAACATACACTTGCAACATAGACATTTGCAATATATGCAACATCCAGATAAAGCACTTGCAACATACGTCTAAAAACAGATGAAACACTTAAAACATGCGTGTATAGCCATAGCAACGTATGCAACATTCAGATCTACTTTTGCAATATCCATATAAACACTTACAACATAATAATAAGTCTCAAAACATCTGAAACATTTGAAAACATACGCTTGAATATAGCCATAGCAACATATGCAACATCTAGATGAAACATTTAAAACAACCGAAACATAGGCTTGCAAAAAACACGTCGGTGCGAGGTGGATGAGGGCGCGGGCGGGATGTAGCACCCGGTTTTAAGAACAAAACCAGATACACACCATATGTGAGCCTAGAAAGTCAAATCTCACATATAGCTACAAATAAGGGTAATATCAATGGGGAATGCTCAATATATAATGTACTTAGTATAAAGAATATAACCTTAGGTAGCGAACAGTGGAAAGATAACTCCGTTCTTCGGGTGAAGACTCAAATTCCACAGGGACAACTGACTGGTTGATCACAAGCCTAATTTCTCCAAACTCTAGCAATCTGATACCCATCCAGAATTTTTCCAAAGATTTAAAAAGTAAAGCAAGCGTAAGTACATATCGTACTCAACAAATATAACATGGGGTTCATGAAGCTCAAAAGACTGACATTGGTTTAACTGCGATTAGCTTTTAATTGTTGCAATTTTAGCATAGGAGTAGCAACAAGTTTATCACAAGCCTATATAAACACATGATCAGGTAAACATGAATAATGAATAGCATAAACAGTATTCATTAGTGAGCATCTTTATCATCAGTATCATCCATGTTCATCATCATTAACCTTTAATGATCATCTATTCCGTAAATGTTCTAAGGCCGCTCGTAACCGTGAGCACGACTGATATATCAGTTTTATACACTGTAGAGGTTGTACACTTTCACTGTGAGCCGTGATTTACCCTTTCGCTCGAGATAGCTAATCTCTTGACCCACTTCCAAGGAAGGTCAGCAGAGTTCACTATAAAGCCTTTCAAAGGTTCGTCTAACAAGTTAGGGCTATTAGATTCACTCGGCAAACAGATGTAGGAACCCCCCTTTCCGATGGCACAATGACACGTAGCCTATATACAAGGGGACAGAGGCTGTCCTATACCTGATTCGGCAAGCCATTCTTACGCCAATAAAGATAACCACTAACAAGCTAGAAAAAGGTTCTCATACTGAGCTAAAGCCAGAGTCATATAGCCCTCACAGTTGTACTGTAAGTCTGAGATGATCACTTACAGATAAGTCCTTAGGGAGAGAAATCTAGAGCACCATAAAAACAGCCCAATGCTCTAGCCCCCTGATTTCACGTTGCTAAAAAGCATATTTTAGTGTTTATTGCATATACCATTAGTCAAGTTATAAGATCATGATTTCAGTTGAGCATTAGCATCATACTAACCAATGCAATACCCCATAGGTAACAAGGAATCCAGGATATTAAATAGCTAGGAAAATTACTACGGTTACCAATGTAGACACATGCAGTATGAATTAAATGATTAAAGGTGTATAGGACAACAAGGAAGATCCCATGCTATACTTGTCTTAAACTCTTATCCTTCTTCAACTCCAAAACTTCAAAGAAACTCTTTCTTGATCAACACGTAAAGCTCACCGACTAGATAAGATTATAAAGCACCACACAAGAATCCATGCAATCGTACACGAAGCAAACAATAGAACTAAATTAAAACAGTACACTAAACATAATAAACAACATGTAAAAAGGTTTTAAAGATGTTCTACACATTACTACGAACACATAGACGCGAAAAATACTCTAATCGGAGCTATAACGAAAAAGTTATGAATTAAACAAGATTTACTTTAATAAAATAATAAATTAAATATAACCTCGAATTTCAAAAGTTGAAAATATATTTAACAGTAGCTTAAACATGTAGATTACTCAATTACGAATCTAATGCAACTTAAATGGATCAAAACGGAGTTAAAACGGAGATTTTATGGCCTAAATAAGACAAGTGACAAAACTGTAAATAGATGAAAACGTATTTTGGATCTAACCGAAGAAACTACGTTTTCAAAAGAAGAAAACGTATTTTGAATCTAACATAGGGATTTTACGCTTTCTGAAAGAGAAAACATATTCTGAATATACTAGAAAGAAACTATGCTTTTGAAATAGGAAAACGTATTCTGGAAGTGCTCCATGGACTGCGGGTTATATTACGCGAAACTATAGGGGCTCTTTTGTAAATAAACCTGGCGAAGGGGTACGGGCAATCTTGGACCATTGGATTGAATCTGGATGGCCCAAATTAGAAAGGAGGGGGAGAGAGAGTCACCGACCGGGAAAGAAAACCAGCGCGGCGAAGCTCCATTACCGACGCCGAGAAGCTCCCCGGAGCGCTTGTTGGGCCCTAGAGGCCACGGTTTGACGAGCCGAGAGCACAGGGAATAAGACGAGAAGACGGCGAACTCATCTAGGGCCTTCTTGCGATCGATGGCGGGTCTACGACGTCGAGCAGCGCGGCGACGGCGAGAGAAGGAGAAAAAACTAATTTACTACACGATGGATGGATTTCTCAAACTAGGGGCTTCCCTTACGGTAGTTTTGGTGTGCTTTGCCCAAGGGGTTGGTACATATTTATAGGAAGAAAAACTCGCCACATCTACATCAACTAGCAATATGGTACTAATTAATGTTGCACCCTCCACATTTACTAATAGATCTAAATAATCATTAAAGCTCATTAGTAAATAAATGCACGGGCCTTTGATATTTATTAGGATTATTGCACATGGGCTTTGAGAGTTGGTTGGAAAATGAGATATATTATTTATTTTCGGAATTAATTAATTTCGTGAATAAAATAATTATAGAAAAGTCAAGAATTGATATTTAAACCACGAAAAATACTCCGAGACCTCCAAAAATTTAGGGAAAATTCTCAGAGACACTTTGGAACATGATGAATCCAAATAAAGTATTTGAAGCTCATGAAAAGATTGTTGGGAACTTGGAACATAAAGATTAAGGTGAATGAGGTAGGAATTAAATTTCAGAAAGAAACTGAAAAATTCTTAGAGATAGATATTCGTCTCCTAAACGTATTTAAAAAAACACATTTTGCACGTAGAAACATAAAGTGCGACCGACATGAATGCAACAAACACGTTTCTACCTTAAGATAAATTTTAATCTAATAAAAAATTATTATTTTCCCATGTTTTTATGAGCATAAAAATACAAAATTAAATCATTTTAGCTCTATTTCAAGATAAGCAAATTTTAGGGTCCTACACAGGAGTAAGCAACGGTGCGCAGGCGGGCGAGGAGCAATGATTTCCTTGTTGGAAATGAGATTATTGACAAACGAGGGGAAACAAATAATAAAAAATAAAAAATAAGAGAAGGGGACACAAATAGAAAGGAGAAAACAAAAAGAAAGCAACAAAAATGTATATTGGAGATGCGGGTTATCGATCGCATGCTAAGCGAGCGCTCTACCACCTGAGCTATATCCCCATGTGTTCAACTGCTGAATTCAATATTTTAATAACAAGTGACGTTCCATACATACAGATCCACAACCCGAAGCAAGCAGTAACCTATCATCTTTTTTCGCGAGAACAGCATTACCTATATATAAATTAATTAACGCCCTTAGGTACCATTAGATGCACTAGATGACCATAGCAGTATATAGCTTTAAAAAAATACTGGCAACATGAGGCTATGCAAGATAGTCTGAAGTTCTGAACTAAC